AGGAGGGGAGAAAATCAGACAGGATTTCACCTCCCAGGCAGCCGGCCAAGAAGCAGGAGAGAGAAGGGACAGATAGATCAGATGAAGCATGACACAAAGCTTTGCCTGCGGCAGAATTACATCTGCATATGGAAAATACAGAGCTGCTGTGGTGGGCAAATGTTCAGGCTTCAGCTGGTGCAAGAGGGAGGTCTGAAAGATGCCCTCCCTGTGCAGTAGGTTTTGTGAACAACGGGTAGTGTTTCGAAATCGATCAGTTTTGCATATGGGGAAGAACAACCCCATGTACCAGTGCAAGCTGGGGACTGAGCTGCTGGAGAGCAGGGTAGGAGAAGGGGACCTGGGGGTCCTGGTGGGCAGGAGGATGAGCATGAGCAGCAATGTGCCCTTGTGGCCAAGAAGGCCAATGGCATCCTGGGGTGCCTTAGAAAATGGGTGGTTAGTAGGTCAAGAGAGGTTCTCCTCCCCCTCTATTCTGCATTGGTGAGGCCGCATCTGGAGTATTGTGTCCAGTTCTGGGCCCCTCAGTTCAAAAAGGACAGGGAACTGCTGGAAAGAGTCCAGCGCAGAGCTACTAAGATGATTAAGGGAGTGGAACATCTCCCTTATGAGGAAAGGCTGAGGGAGCTGGGTCTCTTTAGCTTGGAGAAAAGGAGACTGAGGGGTGACCTCATCAATGTTTACAAATATGTAAGGGGTGAGTGTCAGGGGGACGGAGTTAGGCTTTTCTCAGTGATGACCAGTGATAGGGTCCCTTCCAACCCCTAGAATTCTGTGATTCTGTGAACCTGGCCAAGTATTTTGTTCACAGTAGGTGCTAAATGGCATCGTGCTGTGTCCCTGTGCAGGTGTTCCTGCACTGGGGCTTGGAGAGGTTGTGAACAGTGACTTGTGTCGAGCCTCGTGGTCAACCAGCCATGAAGCAGATGGTGATGACTGCTATAACAAGAAAGAGGGGAGACTGAGATGAGATCTGAGGAAGAAATTCTTTGCTGTGGGGGTCGTGAGACCCTGGCCCAGGTTGCCAAGGGAAGCTGTGGCTGCCCCATCCCTGGCAGTGTTGAAGGGCAGGTTGGATGGGGCTTGGAGCAGCCTGGGCTGGTGGGAGGTGTCCCTGCCCATGCAGGGAGTTGGAACTGGGTGATCTTGAAGGTCCCTTCTGACCCAAACCAGTCTGCAGTTCTTTGCCATTCAGGGTCATCTTTGCAGCACAAATCTGCCTCCATCAGCTTGACAAATCAGTGATCCAAACTCACGTTGACTTTTGTGCTCTCTGAACTTGTAGAAAAAAGTGATAGCAACAAGAAATAGTAATGAGAGGGGTCTGTGACCAAGTCCACATGCTTCAGGAGCAAGCAAAGGCAAAGATGTGGAGGCTGTCCTTGTGGAGAAGCCCTTATTCCTAATTACCACTGGCAGGGGAGGATGTGGAAAGCAGGGATGAAAATCCAGTCATTGCTAAGAAAAACATGAGTTATGTTTGTCCTTGCCTACAGATTTGCCTCAGTGCCAGGTCCCCCCCAGCCAGTAGGGCCCACAGTGAAAGGTTGCATCCACAGGAGGATTTAGATGCAGTGGCCCACTTAAGACCTTCCAAAATCAGAGAATCTCTTACTCCAAGGCTCTCCTCTTGTTTCTCAGCCAGTACCAATGGAGCAGTGGTGCTCCAAAGTGCTTTGAGGTTGCTCCTGTCCACAGTACCCTGCACTCAATGGGTAGAGCCTGGCTCAGGATGGAGAGGTTGCATTTGGATCCCCCAAAGAGTGGCTTCATTCCCACTATACTCGACAAAAGAATGTTGGCCAGGTGAAAGGGCTCAGGATGGTGAATTATGACCCAAGATAGAAGTTGCTTTGCCTTGGATCAGAAGGTGTATGTCATGTACCTGCTGTGGAGTGGACATTGCGTTCCGCTGCATTCGTGTGGTTTTTACAGCTTCACTTGGTGTTCCTTTTTCTGATTCTTTAGCACCAAAACGCCCTCACAGCATTTCCACGGGAATGGGAGGGCACCCAGGGTACTGAAACTCACCTTCTGCCGAGATGAAGCAGATCCTTTCCTAGCAGAGCTGTGTCACACCGTGTCCCTTGTGCCTCTCGGTGCAGTAGCATGGGGTGGCTTGGGCACACGGCTGGGTCAGGAAGTGGTGCTGGAGGAGGGCTGGGTCTGTGGAGAAGTAAATATCCCTGCAGAAAGTTCCAGTGAGAGCCATTGGTGTTTCCAGCAAGCCATCTAGTGGCTTCCTATTAAAATAGTTGCACACCTTCAGACTGGGCAAGTGAAGCTGGAAGGGTGAGTGCTGCTCACCCCTGCAGTTCTGTCAAGGAACCAACGTGCAGGGTTTGGCCCTCGCTGGGGAAAGGCCCTGTTGTGATAGCCCTGGTGGAGGTGGAAGGCTAGTGGAAGGGTTGGGTTAGCTACTGGACAGCAGTGTGAGTCTTCCCAAGAGCAAACCTGGTGAGTGATCCTATAAATCATAGAATGGTTTGGGTGGGAAGGGACCTTTGAGACCATATAGTTCCAAACTGCCTGCCATGGGCAGGGACACCTCCCACCAGCCCAGGCTGCTCCAAGCCCCATCCAACCTGCCCTTCAACACTGCCAGGGATGGGGCAGCCACAGCTTCTCTGGGCAACCTGGGCCAGGGTCTCACTACCCTCACAGCAAAGAATTTCTTCCTAATATCTGACCTGAATCTCCCATCTTTCAGCTTGAAACCATTCCCCTCATCCTGTTACTCCCTACCCTTGTCCCAAGTCCCTCTTCAGCTTTCCTGAACCTCCTTCAGGCACTGTAAGGTGCTCTGAAGCCTCCCTGGAGCCTTCATTTCTGCTGAACATCCCCAGCTCTCTCAGCCTGTCTTCATAGGAGAGGTGCTCTAGCCCTCAAATCACCTTCATGGCCTCCTCTGGATGTCCAGATCTTAATTTCACTGGTGTGAGTTCAGTGACCCTAGCTCAAAAATGCCTGAAGGTTATAGGAATAATCAGTGATTTAGAGCCACTTCCTCTCCCATATGGATAGGAGACAGCAGACAGAGAGGGGAACAAGTTACGAGGATTTTTTAATAACCTGAGAACTCAGGGCATTTCACTTGGTCAAGTTTTGGGCAGTGGGTTTAAAGCAAACAGAAGGAAGTGCTTTTTCACCAGGTGGTTCAGTTGTGGAACCTCTAGGCACAGCCTGCTACAGGTGCTGAAAGTTTGAAGGCTTCACAGAGGGATTTGGTAAATGCTGGAGGAGAGACTGATCTGGGGCTGGGCAGTTTCAGTCAGGTGGTCTAGGTAGATCCTGAGCTATCCTTGGCTGGTGATTGTATCAGGAAAAACTCTGGTGATGGAGACTTCAAAACCAATCTCCATGTGCACCACCAGCCCTACCTGTAGGAGGTGGTCTCTTATATCCAGCCTCATTTGCCTTTGCTGCAATTCAAACCTATTAACACAACCCCCAGGAGAGGTGGAGAGCATCTTGTCCACACCAGTGTTCACCTCTCAGGCAGATGCCAGGCTGTCTGAGGCAGTTTTTAGGTGCATTGTGGCACTTTGGTTGACATTCAGCCTGAGGTGCTTCCTGGCCCCAGGCCCTCCCCTGGTGCAGCACAGCACTTTGTTCCCACCTGGGGGCAGATATTTGCACCTACTTAACGCAGAAGGGTTTTTTTCTGACCTTCCTCCAGGTCTCACCATTGTTTGATATCTAATCCAGTTGCCTGGAGTGTTTTCATTGCTCCTTGCCTCCTACCCATTGAGTACATTGATCCCATCACCCGTATCACTGCTGACATACTGGGTAGTGTCACGGGTGGGACAAGTCTCCTGGCTCAGCACATCCCCGGGGTCTGATGGTGAATCACCAGTAACTCTCTCCAGATGGTTTCCTAATGACTTGTGTGCCCACATTAGAGGAGTTTTGCCCCAGCGTGTTCCTCTGCTGTGCTGCTGAGGAAACCATGTGCAGCAGCACCTAATGAATATCAAGATATATGGCCCTGACTGCTTCTCCAGCTACTCACAGGCCAGTTACTCTGTCACAGAAGGAAATTGAATTGTTCTTGACAAACGGGTGTCGGCAGTCACTTATCATCTTGTTATCTTCTAAGTCCTTGCAAATAGGTTGCTTCATTATTTGTTCCATCAGTTTTCCAGGGCTTCGGTGACTAGATTGTAATTCCCTGCCTTTTCCTTTTTGCATATTTTTAAAGCTAAGCCCTATATTTGCTTTCTTTTTTAACCCTGGTCTTCCAAACCCTCTCCTATCTGCCGTGAGCTAACAGAGGAACAATAACTCTGTGGCCCTTCCCTCAATCCTTTTGGGGCTGCACCAACACCCTGGTTTGGTTATTGCCCTCCTGCTGGGGTGGGTTTTCTCTTCACCTTCATGGCTCTTGCCTGCGTTGGCTCATTTGAATCTTGACCTTTCCCAACCAGGGCTTTTAAAAGCTTAGCTTTAGCCACAGAGAGCTGGTGTGTAGTGTGTTGTGGAACCTGCAGCGTTACAGATAATTTGGGCCAAACTGTGACTTTTATTAGCATGAGGACAACAGCAGTGGGACTGCATGGCCATGGAGGTGGGTGTAATTCAGCTTTTTTGGTGATTTTTTTTCCAGGAGCAGCTGGTAATTCTTGGTGTGCAGGTCGGCACACCTTGCCACGATCTGGGTTTTTAGAGAATGGTGACCCCCTGCCCCGGGGACGCTCACACACCTAATGAATATGGCACACAGTGCCATCCTCCTTTGGCATGTTGTATTTCATGAATCATAAAAGGGTTTTGGTTGGAAGGGAACTTTATGATCATCCAGTTCCAACCCCCTGCCATGGGCAGGGACACCTCCCACTAGACCAGGTTATTCCAAGCCCCATCCAGCCTGGACTTGAACACTTCCAGGGATGGGGCAGCCACAACTTCTTGCCAGGCATGATTTATTTCTTCATTAGCTCGGTTTCCCAATTTCTCAATTCTCTTTTGGTTTTTTCCCCCTCCTCTTCCTTCAACAGGAATCATTAACCAATGGCAACAGGAATCCAAGGATAAAGTGATTTCCCTGCTGTTAACCCATCTGCCTTTACTGAAGCCCGGAAACATCGAGGCGAAGGTCGAGTACATGAAACTCTTGCCTAAAATCCTGGCCCACTCGATCGAACACAACCAACACATCGAGGAGAGCAGGCAGCTCCTCTCCTACGCCTTGATACACCCCGCCACCTCCCTGGAGGACCGCAGCGCCTTGGCCATGTGGCTCAACCACCTGGAGGACCGCACGTCGGGCGGCTTTGGCAGCCAGGGCAGAGGCCGCTCGGACTCGCTGGACTACGGGCAGACCCACTACTATCACCAAAGACAGAACTCGGACGACAAGCTCAACGGGTGGCAGAACTCGCGAGACTCGGGCATAAGCGTCAGCGCTTCCAGCTGGCAGGACAAAAACCTGGCCTGCGAGAACGGCCACCAGCCCCTCTACTCCTCCTCCTCCGTCCCCACGACCATCAACACCATCGGCACTAGCACAACCACCAGTAAGTACCCACAGCGAGCACCGGGCAGGGCCACCCGTGGCCGCTCTTCACAGCACGGGCCCCCCCCAGCCCACCAGAAGACACTTTTTGGCCATGGTTAGCAGAGGGTCTAGCTTCATCTGGGCCTCAGAAATGTTTTTTCTTCCCCCAACCTGCTTTTTTTTTTTTTTTTTTCCTCCTTCCTGCCTTTTTTTTTTTGTTCTTTTTTCTATTTTTTCCCCCTCTAGTCCTGTGGGATTTTCATGACCTGGCAGCTGGAGAGAAGGGAAAAAAACAGCCCATGTGCATTCTTGAAGAGAGCCCCTTTTATTTCATGTAGCTCTGTTTGCAATTGACATCTTTAGAGTTCCTAGAACAAGAGGGGAGCTGATGCTTCATGTCCAGAAGTGAGATGGGGGACATGAGGCAAGTCCAGAAGTGCCCTGGGGACTGACTGTGAGGAAATGGGACTGGAGCCCCTAAACACACAGTGATTTTGGAAGCAGGGCTGGGATCTGTGATCTTCAGGGTGTATCTGAAATGTTCCCTTGTATCTGTGCAGTGCACAGAGGTGTGAAGCTGATGGTGATGCACACTCCTCTAGGAGGTTTGGGCAGCTCTTCCCCCGTGGAGGCTCTACCAGGCTATGATGGGAGCGCTGGATGTTGCAGAGTCCAACCCAGGGCTTGGACACTCAGAGGTGCTGCAGGGCACCATGGCTGGAGATTTATCACTGTTTTTGCCTGAAGATTTAGTGCAGCTGTTACAGGCTTTTAGAATCATGGACTCGCAGAATCCTTTTGGTTGGGAAAGACCTTTAAGATCATTCAATCCAACCATTCCCCCAGCCCTGCCAAGGCCACCACTGCCCCATGTCCCTCAGCACCACATCTACACACCTTTGAAACCCCTCCAGGGATGGGGACTCTACCTCTGCCCTGGGCAGCCTGGGCCAAGCCCTGACAACCTCTTAATTAAAGAAATTGTTCTTGGTATCCAATTTAAACCTCCCCTGGCTCAACAGTTTCCTCTTGTCCTATCAGTTGTTCCTTGGGAGAAGAGACTGACCTCTCCTCACTCCAACCTCCTTTCAGGAAGTTGCAGAGAGCAAGAAGGTCTCCCACTCCCTCTGTGGAGGGCTGTCCTGCCTGCCTTGCTGTCACCTTGGGTGGCTGCCACCATCTCACCAGCGGGGCTGGACATCCTCCTTCACTTTGGGGCATTCAAGAGGTCTCTCTCCAAGATGCTTGGCATCTCCCTAGGTACCAGGGTTGCAGAGAGCACTTTGGGGATGAGAGGCTTCTTGCGGCGAGGGCGGTGGCTTATCTGTCAGCATGTGGAAAGCCACAATTAAACAGATGAAAGCTTTAAAATGGTCACTTAAAGCTTCTGGGTTTTTCCCTCTTCTGTAATAAGCACTTATTTAGGTGGTGCTTTAAATTGACAATATGAAACGTGGCTCTGGCCTTACTGCTGTTGCACCCTGGTCCCTGCCTCTCTGGTGTCCATCCTTGCGGGCAGTGCTCCTTTCTCTGCTTCTGGATTTAGGAGAAAGGTTTCAGCTTCTCCAGTGACTCTGAACATCACACCCATTGTGTCCCCCATCTTTGAAGCCCTGGCTCCTGCTGCCATGGGATTGTGTGAGGTTCAGCTTCTCCAAGAGCCAGGTCCCTGTGCTGTGGAGGAGGGCTGTTTAGGCTGACGAAGCCACATGGAAAAGGCTTAACAAGGAGGCAGGATGAGAAGAACCATAAATGTATTTGCAACTGGTCTTATAAACCTCTCCAGGGATTATTTTGGGGGGTTCTTCCTTGTGGTTTTTGCATGCCTGGCAGTTCAGAGGCTTTGCATGCCAGGGAGGTGATGGGAAGAGGTGACTTCAGAAGGGATTTCGTTCCTTGCATGAAGAGCTGGAAGCAGGGAGGTCTGCTGGGTGCAGCAGGGTAATGGCTGAGAGTGGCTGGAGCTCCACAAGATGCATTAGGTCTTGAAGGACCCTTTTCAAAAACACTTTTGTGTTTCTTTGAGCCTTTTTTTGTGTGCACACTTAGCTCATGGCAGAAGTAGCAACCCACCTCTTGCACAGCAAGGTCCCCAGGTGTGAGCAGAAGGTACCGAAACCCAGGCCACAGCCTGAGCTGCCACACTGCTGAGGTCTTTCCTGAGTTCTCTAGCATTTGATGTGCACATCACTGGAATGGGAACATCTGTGGGTCTGTCAACAGGAGCTGTACAGCCCTCCCTCTACCCTGGTGTGTTGTGGGAGGGCTGCATCCCTCCTCCAGCTCAGCCACTCACTTTGCTGCAGCATCCCCTGCCCTGAGTCCCCATGTGGCAGCTCTTGCCTGGTTCCACCCTTTCTGGCGTCCCACCATAGCTGCTTTTCATGGCACCAGAATAGCTGGTTTGCACTATCTTGTTCTGAGCTGCAAGAATTATGGAGTCCATATCCAGGGAAAGTTTTGCCCAAGCATCCCACCAGGTTCAACACATATTTCTAAGGCTGAGTAGCTTTGCAGAGGCACCTGAACACGTTTGCAGCCCAGTCTGCTCCTCAGTGTTCACAGAATCATAGAATCATGGAATGGTTTGGGTCAGAAGAGATCTTCAAGATCATCCAGTTCCAACCCCCTTCATGGGCAGGGACACCTCCCACCAGCCCAGGCTGCTCCAAGCCCCATCCAACCTGCCCTTCAACACTGCCAGGGATGGGGCAGCCACAGCTTCCCTGGGCAACCTGGGCCAGGGTCTCACCACCCTCACAGCAAAGAATTTCCACCTCTGATCTCATCTCAGTCTCCCCTCTTTTCAGCCTGAAACTCTTCCCCCATGTCCTATCACTAAATGTTGAGCTGTTGTAACTCCTGCTAATATATTTTGGTGGCAGCATGTTCAGACAACCTGTGGGCAGAGCTGGAGATGACCCGACCACACTTTAATCTGTTAGTTCATAAGCCTCCTTAGTGCAATATTTGCTTGGACACAAGCACAGTGAGTCCACAGACAGATGCTAGAAGACAAACACAACTGTCAGCCCTTGTCCCAGCCCCTTCAGGCAATCAATACATCCATTAATCTTTTATTCCTAAGCCCTCAAACCATTACGGTTTGTTTAGGTTTTAATGTTGTTATTTTTAAATTCTCTGTCTTACTTGGAGGTGTTTATCTGGGCAGGGCATTAAGCCAACAACACCCTGCGGGCCTTCCCCAACCTGTCCCTGCAAAGGTTCTGCCTGTTCCTGATGCCAAAATGGGGCAAAGTCTTTCCCAGAGGAGCAACGTGGTGATCTTGCCCAATGTACTTTCGTCTGGTTTTGTGGCATAATTAGGTGTAACACTAATAGGGCCTTGAGTTTAAATATGGGTAGGTGAAGCTCCCATGGCAATTGTGCTCTCCTTGTACTGGCTTAGACCCAGGCTTTTTGCTTTGGCTCTGGCTTGGTTTATCTCCAGCTCTCTTTTAACAGTGCTGGCTGGTCTTAGCCAAGGTTTGAGGAGATGTCACTGAACTCCAGCCTTTGCAGGGCAAGTCCAGAGTGCTCTGAAGGCATCACAGTGGTGGGGATCTAGAAGCAGGACCAGTGTTTAAGTGATGGGTTTGGGTCCAGAGCCATCTGAGGATGACATGAAGTTCATGCCCATCCACTGCATCACCATGTTGGACCCTCTCTGCTTTCTCAGTTCAGCCTGTGGAGCTGGAACTTCAAACAAAGCTTTAGTGTGCCAGCAATGAAGGTAGCCTTGGCATGGGCTTGGGAGCACAGGTGGGCAGGAGGCCAGAGCTGCTCCAGGCATGGTGAGACAGGGTGAAGCCCAGAGCTGAGCTCTGTGGCCAAGTCAGGCATTGGTTGCAAAACACCCAGGTTGCACAACGCCCTTGCAGTGGAGATGGGGCCTGGAAACTCTGAAAGGACAGAGAAGAGCAGCTGGCTTTCAAAGCTGCAGACCAACAGCTTCTTGCATGAGGGCTCCAGTCCTTCCTTTCTCCCATGTAACAGGTCCCACCGGGGCATGACTCAATGGCACGTGCTTGTAGTTGTCAAACAGAAGCACGTGTAGTTCAACCCTGTGTTTCCAGCCTGCTCAGAAGGGAATGTGTGCAGAGGAGAAGGAGGGTCTGATGGTAGGTAGGCTTGTCCAGTGCTGAGAAGGAGAGATGCAGGTACACCAGTCTGAACTGGACCCTGAGGTCTGTGAGCAAGGAAAGGGAAAGGCACAAGGCTTGGAGGGAGTGGTGGCAGCTCCAGTTGGCAATTGTGAGACAGAGCTAAAGATGTAAGGATTTGGGTCCTGTTTCTGATGTGCATCTGCTGGACAAGAGTCTTGGTCCTCTGCTCCCAGAAGATAACCTGGGGATAAGAGTATTACTTCTTCTATCAATGTATGGTGAAATTTTCCTAGTGTCTCACCCCTGGTGCAGTGCCAGGGCACTTTAAACTCCCCATGGAGAGCAAGGTCCCAGGGACAGGTCAACCTCCCACCTCTGCACAGGGGCAGAAGGTCTGGGTTTTACTGCAGGAGCAGCAGTAACTTGCCCCAAACATTTTAATTGAGCCAGATGTTTCTGGCAGAGGAACAAGGACATCCTTACATCAGTACTTGCCCAGAAAAGGTAGCTCAGTGCCAAGCACAGGCAGTGGTTCAGCCAGGGTTAGTGTCTTCTGTTGTGACCCTGCCTGGGAACAGGAGCTCTACCCAGCTTCTCTTTGGGCTGTAGTGCTGCCAGGAAGCAATGGCATGTCAGGTTCCCTGGTGGGGGGTGACACTGGAGAAGGTAGGCAGTGCTTGGTCCTGCTGGAACCTTGTGTGTCTAGGAGTCTGTCTCCTGTCTGTCCTTCCAAAAAGAGGAGGAGGTCCCTGGATTGGTCATGGTGACATCTGAGTGCATGGCTGGTGCTCCCCAGTTCTTCCCTTGGGTGAGCAACCAACATGACCCTGGTGTGTGTGTGCTGGGTCACTTGAAGCAGCAGCAAAGCCTGGGAGCACCATGTGGGTGGCACCAGGGGACAAGGTGGTGGTGT